ACAGTATTTTATACAACTTTTCAGGTACGAGTCCACTATAGAGAGCCAGGCAACATGATGTAATTACAAAGAAGCACTTAAAAAAAAGCCATCTGTGTTACAAGAAGGGGTTATTACAAACAGTTGCCTAGGGGGAAAATCTCGATTAATGAAGTAATTCACATACTTGATTTCATTTTGCCCCACCCAGTTCTCTCCTTACCTGTCCACTGTATTGGCTACAGCTTCCAACTGTTTGAGAAGAAAAGGATAGAGTTCCGGGAACCGAGAGAAAAACTCTCTTCCTGTCATTCTGTGGAGGGAGGGGGGACAAAGATAAATTAGTATCATTTACTTCCTCTGACTTGATAATAAAGCCTTTTTTAAAATAGGAAGATAACTAAGGTCATCAGTTTGGATATTTAATGCAATAACAGTTAAAAACAAAAACAAAAACTACAGCATCTTAAGAGTTTAACAATCAACAGAAATGATACATATATTTTGATTTGGAAAGTGTTTTTAATGCATGGTCTTTTATCTCAAAATTTAAGATTATATATGTTTACAAATATTGATATTAAATTCTGTTAAGGAAGAAATATGTAATCTGTGAAAATGCCAAGTTTCCACAATTGATTTCAACTATGAATATAGTCAACACCAATCAACTGAGACTGACTCAGCTTTGGTGATTACAGCAGGTCTAGTACAAGCTTTCTCAACCCTGGCACAAATGGCATGTTAGACCAAATAATTCTTTGTTTCAGGGGGCTGTCCTGTGCATTGTAGGATGTTCAGCAGCCTCTGTGGCTTCTACGCACTAGATACCAGTAGCACAACACCCCTCCTATACCCTGCAATCATGACAATCAAAATGTCTACAGATATTGCCAAATGTATCCTGCGGGACAAAATGGTCCCTGACTAAGAACCACTGGTTTGGAGTATGGTTATCAGAAGTTCAGATCTGGCATGTGAGGTTCTGGAGATCCAACCCCCATGGAACCTGTAAGGATTATCTTTTCCATTTTTAAAAAAACTACTCTTGAACTCTGCCAAGGTCCTATAAACAGTTCCTCAGACTGCATAACTGATCAAAAAACTCAAGCAAAATATAGAATTTAGGAAAATATTCTGTCTCTATAACTATTAAAGAACTCCAATTAATGGAGACCTAGAATATCCACATTTTAAAAAACTGAAACATATTTTACATGCAGAAAAATGCTTAGATCTTAAGTGTACCATTTGGTCCACAAATACATACACTCATGTAATCCACACCCTTATCAAGACTCAGAAAATTTCCATTATCCCATAAAGTTCCCTCATGCCCCTTCTCAACCAGCTTCTGCTGAGGAACCACTGATTTGATTTCCATCACCACAGTTTGGTTTTCTCTATTCTAGAATTTCATATAAATCTAATAACACAAATTTTTTTGAGCTTTTTTCACTCAGCATGAGTGAAACTTATCCATGGTATTCGATGTATCAATAGTCTGGTTCTTTTACTGTTGACTAGTATGAACACACACGTATGTTCGTTCTTTCTTCTACTGACAGACATGGCTCTTTCCATTTTTTGGCTATTATGAATAAAGCTGCTATGAAAATCTTGTACAAGCCTTTTTTGTGGACATATGTTTTGATTTCTCTTGGATTAGTATCTGAGAATAAAACTGCAATATGTTTAACATTTTAGGAAACTGACAGTTTTCCAAAATAATTATAACATTTTATATTCCCCAAAATAAGTGAGAGTTCTGGTGGCCCTATATCCTTTCCAATATTTGCTGCTGTCTTTTTTTTCCTTCCATTTCAGCCATCCTTGTGGGTACGTAGTGATACCTCCCTGTGATTTGCATTTGCATTTCTTTGATGACTAATGATGCTGAATACTTTTCATGTGATTTGGTCATTGGCATGGCCCTTTGTGAAATATCTACTCAAGATTTTTAACCATTTTTATTAATAGGTTGCTTTTCAAAGGAAAAGCACGTATATTCATGGCAAATACTTTCTTCTAGTCTGTGGCCTGCCAACTTATTTTCTTAATAATGTCTTTTGATGAGCAGAAGTTTTACATTTTTTGATGAAGTCCAATAATCAATCAAAAATTTTTTCCGTTATGATTCATGCTTTCTATGGCCTCTGTAAGAAATCTCTGCCTACCTAATAAAGATATTCTATGCTTTCTTCTAGAAGATTCATGGTTTTAGCTTTTACGTTGAGATCTACGATCCATTTTAAGTTAATTTGGGGGTATGGTATGACATAGAGGTCAAGGTTCTTATTTTTCTACATTGGTATATTATATTTTTAATAGGGAGATGCTATAAAAAAAGATATGTCTTAGATGTGCTATGCTCACAGATTAGATATTATAACAATAAAATTCAATATTATAACAATGAAATTCTCTCCAAATTGATTACAAATGTAATGCAATTCCAATAAAAATTATAATTGTGTGTGTTTGTGTGTGTATGTGTGTCTAAGTGACCTAACAAGTAGATTCTAAAATGTATATAGACACACCAAGGGCCAAAAGTAAGAGCGGCAAAGCTAATCATAAAGAAGAATAAGGTTGGAGGACTCAATCAGATAGCCAAAAATATCATAAAACTTGAGTAATTAAGACACTGTGGAGAGAATGAAACCAATAAAACAGAAAGCACAGGAACACACATATATGACAACTTGATTTGTGAAACAGCTGACACTACAGATCATAGAGAAAAATATTATAATAACTGATTACCCACACAATTAAAATTGGATTCCAGCCTCCTACTCTACACAAAATTAAATCCCACTGAATTCAAAACTTTAAAAGAGCATAAAGAAAAAATACAAAATAATAAACGAAGTTTTTGACCTATTTTGAAAATTTATAATTTTGCCCTGACCATTCCTGGCATGCTTCTTTCTTTTCCCCAGTGACAACTCCAGACAGCCTAGGTGGTACAACTTCCATATGGCAGCCTGGCCAAAGGGTCCCTATAAGATTCTAACTTAATTCTGTATAGCCACCTGGACTGACCTGGTCCTAAATCATAAAATAATGACCACTTATTTGAGTACACTATTTGCTGAGTCTTCCTAAGGTGGCCCATGGGGGACATAATAGGTTTCTATACGTTTTATAAAAATGCCTTATCTCTCTTGCACCTGACCATTCTAGACAAAAGGTGTGGTTGCAAGTAGGAAATAACTGAAAAAAAGTACAATTATAGCTACTGAAATGGGACAAGTGATTTTGAGTCAGTGGAGAAAGAACAACCTTGACACCTGGGAAAGGTACAAGGGAAGGAAGAATGTTAAGGGTCTCTGCTTTTTTGAAAACAGAGCCTCCTTCACTAAGGAAAATGCTCTACTGTGGCTCTCCCAAACTGTCATAAGTACATTAAATTTAACTAACTGCTGGGTCTGTCATCCTCCATCAGATGGCTCTAAGCACAATTTGACTGCCTTTCCCCTTAAAATCCTACTGAGAAATCTATCAGAAACTGCACATAATGGCCTTGGCTCCAGGACTAACCCTTCCATGCAAAACACCTGTCGATACCTCTGGATGCCTCTCCCTTTTCTGTAGCCATTGCTAAGTCATTGGAAAGGGCAGTCGAACGCCACTCAGCTGTTGGTGTGGGCAAAACAGGACAGGATGGAATGACTGCACACAGCACTCTCTCCAAAACCAAGAACTAGAATCAATTATTTGCACTGAACTAGGAACTTTAAGGTTACCGGCTGGTTGTTAGGCCATGTTGGAGGCATAGTCAATATATGCTCTTCAACTGATGTAGAGAGCTTCCCAAATTATAAACAAATGCTTTCTTTACAGGGGCAGTAGGTGTGCCCTTGGAACTCCATTTCTTTAGTTTAGGCATTAACTTGCCTCTCTCCTCAAAACATAGTGAGTTGTACCTTAGGTCTCGTTGTAAGAGACCTTCCATTGTTTAAGGAAATACCACCAGCAGAGACTGTGAAGATCTCTCCCAAATAAGGCTAGGCTTGGTTATTCACAGAAGCCTCCCAGAGGTATAAGTGACTCATTCTTTTTTCACAACTTGTGGTTGGTCATCCCTACTGTTAAGTCATCCAACTACAAAACAGGGAGCCCAGAGTTTGAGGTTACAGAGAGCTGCTATCGTGCCACTGCCCTCCAGTCTGAGCAACAGTGCAAGACCCTCTCTCTTATAATCATCATCATAATAAAAAAAAGACAGTATAGAAATAAGGGATAGATGTGAGAGACAATTCTCCATGAGCTTCCCACATTACTGCACATACTGCAAAGTGAAGTGCGGTGACTGCCCTTTGTTCTAGATTCTATTCAAGGATGTTTACATTAATATAATGAACAGCCTTGGTAGATATAGTATCTCCCTCTGGAGCAAAGGGAAGACATGTTTACTGCCCATTATAAAAAATTCAGGTCCCCTAACTGAGTTCCTCTCCTGTAAAGCAACCCATTGCATATACAGGTATTATCTATCCCTCTCTACAACTCTTTGCACTGCCCTGTGGGCACTGGGGCTCAGGACACTGGCACAAAAATGCTGCTACTCTGGCATTGGTACTGCTGTAACACACTGCCCTTCATTTCTGACCCCACGTGTCTCATGTCTTCTACTACCATCTATGCAATAGGAAATTGAGCCAAGCTAACTTATTAGCTTGCAAATGAGTAATGTCTAAGACCCTTAAAAGTTCTGGGCAAGAGAGTCATGCTAAAAGGAATGAGAGCAATTTGATAAGGCTTCAGATTCACAATGGTCTCAGATATGACATTTTAAACATGAAAATAAATAACTGTAACACATTGAAATACATCAATAAATGGCATAATGAGTTCATAATAACTCATTAGAGTCACTATTAGAGTTATATAACATATAACTCATCAGAGTCACCATTAGAAGTTGCTAGGACAGCAACTTAATACTTTGAAAATTAATAAAGAAAGGAAAAGAAAAACATTTATCCTATATCCCCTGAAAAAAAAACTGTATTAATAGTAACAAATAATTAAAGACAGTTTTCATAGAAGAATTCCAGCCAATACATGGAGAAGATATAATAGAATTAGAAAATCACCATTTTACAACCCCTAATAAAAAATAATAAGTTGAAGGCAGTGATTATAAATGGAAGCCGAGGGCCGGGTGCGGTGGCTCACGCCTGTAATCCTAGCACTCTGGGAGGCCGAGGCGGGCGGATGGTTTGAGCTCAGGAGTTAGAGACTAGCCTGAGCAAGAGTGAGACCCGTCTCTACTAAAAATAGAAAGAAATTAGCTGGATAACT